ATATTTAGAATGAGTGAAGAGATCACAACAAATTACAAAACAAAAAGAGCATAATATTTTTATTCATTAAATGTCTGGCATATCTCTGTATTTGTCCTCTTTTGCTTCATATTCATTGATTCATATAACAGTAGTTATACATTATTTTCTATAGAAAACATGAATAATCAGTTTTTTCACAGGCTTAGTTGGTTGAAATTTGTTTTTTAATATTGATAGGAGTAATGCATAAAACATATCACTTACCCCAGGTGTGGCTTCTGTTTGTTTGCTGCAAGTTTGTTTCCTGTAAACACAGGAATGCTATTTTTTGTGAAGTTCCTGTCAAAAAAAAGAAAAAAAAAAGTTAATGGTGCACTTATAATTGCATATATAGCATTATTTAGGTATATTTCTAGAAGAAAAGTATTTCTCTTTTGATCATGCATCAATGAGAACCTAATTCTCTGTTTACAATTTCACATGTTTAATGTTTTGAATTTTTCAGTCTTATTTTTGGCTGTGTACATGTCAATTGTGTTTTTCCTGCACATAAACTTTTGGTGCTAAAACACATTCACATTTCTCCTATATAGTAGGCATTGGGGATATTCCAGGAAATCATTTCTAGAGTTAGCAATAACTTTACTATATTGTCAGAGATAAGCAATGCCAGACACTAATTAAAGTGGTAAGCACAGTTTTTAATCAGTATATAATACCCCAGCGTGAAGTGAAAAATTGTAAAATATGTGAAGGAGAGCATTGGTTCCATGTGAAATACATCTGCATTTGCTGATACCAAAGTTAGGCTCCTACCTTCCCACAGAGGTACCTATCTTCAGACAAGGATCCTATCTTCAAGTATTTCCTGGAACAAATAGTAAATCCTTCTGGCAGCCTTGATTTTCTCAAGAAGGCATTCATAGGGTGTTAGGGTCATCTGAGGGATGTGGCCTTGAATTGCTGTATGTTATGTTGAGAGTTTTGTTCAGGCCAACTTTTTAGGCCAAGATTGAGACATAGTCGAGAAAAGGCTTAGGAGTCTGGCTGGACTTGGTCAAGGAGAAAATCTATGTCAGTACCCAAAAGTGACTTCACATAACAGAAAAATACCCATTAAACCGTACTAAATATATCTCTAGTTTAGCTTAGTTATATCAGAGTATTCACAGCCACTATGTTGTCTAACACAAGAGGAAGTGTAATGGAGTTGAAATTGGTATAAATAAAGACAAGTTTTCACTGGTTGTGATTTAAATATTTTTACTTTTGCAGATTTTACAAAACATGACCATAGAAACAGTAAATTTGGAGGTACATTCTTTGGAGTAGTAGAATTGTAAGAATCAGCAGCATAGCCAAGAGCCAGAGTGAGGAAATGTATATAGTTACAATTTCCAGTCTTCTCCATGGTCACTTCCTCGAATGCTGGCAAGGATTAGTTTAGACAAGTTAAAGAATAATTCTCTGGAGAAATTCAATGTTCCCCCAAAGAGAAATACCTTACTTTTGGGGATCCTCTAACAAATGACCATATCCCCAGGTTACCTATAGTGAATCCACCAGTAACAAAGCTCTGCCCACATATTCAAAACTTCCAATCTAATTTTTAGTGCTGTTCTTTTAAATATGTATATCACCAAACCTCTTGGGAAAGTCTCCAGCTAAAAAACACAGAATAGCACCAACTGAATAAAGGAATATCCTCAGAAAAACAATTATGAGAAGATATGATAGCTATGAAAATTCAGGATTTTTTTAAGTATTAATATGACAAAAAAGATTTACTGGAAATTAAAAATGATGTGGAAATGCAGTGAGCTTTATATGAAAGAGTTGGATGATAAAGCTTAAGAAAGCCCTCAGAGGATACAAGAAAAATACAGATGGAAAGTAAGAAGAAAGGGCAAAATTATTAGAAAATCTATTCAGGATGTTCAGGACTCTTCTAATGAAAGAAGAGAGAAGGAAAAAAATGAGAAATTATTACAGATATTACACAATAACTTTTTCTGCAACTGAAGGATTATAATAAGACCATCATTATGAAATTTCAGAATACCAGAACTCCTAAAAGTTTACAGAAAAGAAGAAAATCACATATATGTGATCTTAAATCAAAATTGCATCAAATTTCTCAGAAGAAAGACAATAGAGCACTTGCCTTACATAACTTTGAAGAAAAATAAATCAATCCTAGAATCTTATGACTAGCCCAACTATCAGTCAGGGGCAGAATAAATATATTTAAAACATGGACAATTCCAAAATAATTTGCTTTCTGTGCATCCTTTCTTAGAAATTTCTGGGAAATGTGTTCCACCAAAATGATGCAGTAAATCAAAAGGGAGAAAATAATATCTTAGTACCCAAATTAGGGATCAAATATAGAGGGAATTAGATGATGGTAAAGAGAAGTGCCATGTAAGCAACTGTTCACTACATCTGGAAAGCAGGTCGTAGTCATTAAAGCAAAAGAATGGAGGGCTTCAGGAGAGATGTCTTTTCCACTTACCTTTGCCCAAATGTAACATGAGTTGCATTTTATAATTTTTAAAATAGGTCAGTATTTATGAGAGGGAACAATAGTAATGGATAAGATAAAGAAACTATGATTTACAAAAGTTACTTTTCTGAGTGTACCTCATGGAGCTTGGAATCAAACCTGGGAAAGCATAATTCAGGGTACATACTTATTCACAAATGCATTATATCAAAATGAGAATGCAAGGTAGAATGTAGTAGTCCTCTGGGATGAGAGGTTATTTTTAAAAGAATAATTGCATATTTTAATGTACAGTTTATAAAGTACTTTTCATAATATTTTGGTTGTGATAAAGTACTTTGGAAGGATTTTGAGATGGAAGGATGACTTGGGTCAAGTGAACGGAGAATGGGATATTTGCCAGTAGTAATAATCAGGCTCAAATGGGGGTGGATGCCAGTGAATTCTCACGATTCCCTGTAAACCTTTTATGGTATTGGTAGGGTGTTTTGGAAACAGATATAAACGACTTTTCCCTTGCCAGTGATTTAAGGACTGAACTACAACCTCTCATCTGCATCAGTAACTTGACCTCAAGCTTTTAATGGGTGACAGATGTGTCAAACTGATTTGAGCACTACGGATGCAAAATTTATGGTCCAAAATTCTTTTCCTTTGGAAATTATACAGTATGAAGTAGATTAACTTTTTTTTTTTTTAAAGATGACAGAGTTTTCTCTCTTTAGCTGCAAGTTTTTATCTTAACGATATTAATTGGAAATGTTTTAAAATGAATTGAACATATCTCTTCTGTCTTAAGTAGAGGAACGTATCTGAACTTCTATTTTTCTTCTCATTGGTGTTTGTATTCTTCTCTTTGTAGAGTATTAAGTTGATGATGTTAAAGAGCTTTTTAGAAGAATACATTTCACTATATTGACAGTTTCTCAAATAAATGGGCCCATGCTTCAAAACATGTTTAACTCTTGTTTTATAGATTTTGTGTTAAGAATAGCATATGATGATGATGAAATCTGACTTCTTTGTGGGGCATCAGTGGAAGTAACCAACTATGAGGTTGGCAAGCATCACTAAGAGCAGATAAAGGAATGTTTAATTGAGTAACTGGTCTTTCTAGAGCTGCTGGCTATTGTTTCCTAAATCTAAATAAATTGGGAAATGAAAGATGCCTTATAACACTTTAGTAACTTCAGAGATTCTACCAGTGGTAACAACACTTAACACATTCAATCACTTAACTTCATTATGTGTTAATTTCTTCCTCTTCAAGAGAAATCAGGGGATTATATTACCTGTCTACAGAAATCACTGAATTAAATGAGCTAAGTATACAACACCTGTCACATAATAGATGTTCAATAAGTGTCCATTTCTCTGCCCTTCTCTAAGAGTTTTCCACCTTATAAAAGCAGACAGTTCTATAAAGGCATGACTCATGCACCATTCACAGAATCAATTTAAGTGCCTATTTCCTTTTTCCTTTATATATAAGCACTTCATTCCAAAAAGGGAAATAGGGACCTCATCCCAGTATAAGGGATTTGATGTATTTTTCTCCATTCCTTATCTGAATTGACACTCTTGGACTTTTACAGAGGAAATGATGATAACTACCATTCACTATATTAGGAATATAGAAAGGAAAAAGCTGGTCCATGCTAAACTCCTTCATGCTAGCCAAATTCTTCAATTTCTATTGCCTTTCTGTGATAACTCCATTTTCCCCATAGAGTTACAGGTTTACTCTCCATCAGGAATGTTAATATTAATCTCCTCATGGGTTTCAGTCTTATTGAAACACACACACAATAATTTGACATTGTAATAAATTCCCTGTGTATATTAACTCTGTATCAAAGGTGTTTAAATTTCTTTCAGATCAGAAAAAGAAAAGAACATTTTCTTTGAAAATATTTTCTATCATTTTTAATTGGGTGCATTTTATTTCTCTGTATGTGATACTTCACTTAAACTTTTCTGCACTTAAATCAAGAAATTCTTTTTATAAAGGGAATAAATTACTGAATTTAGATTTTGATTAATTTTTGTCCTTATTATTTTATATCTTCAGTAATAGGTAGAAGTGAAACTGTTAGTACACTTTACTTGAAATCATGGTATATTAACATCTGAATCTTTTGTTTGCCCACTCCCAAATTCCAGCCTTCTTTCTTCTCAACCTTTATTTTAATTTGAGAAAGTGAAAATATCATTAAAGTTAATGAAGCAAATTCTCTAATAAGATGTATGATTAATATATTTAAATTTTTGAATAATGATATACATTATGAAATATAATCTATATATGTATCATGTATCTACATAATAATACCAGGTACCCTCTACCATCCTAATCACATGTTGATTAATATCCATATTACTTTTTACTGACATCTTTTCTAATTATCATTTTAGCCATATTTGTGCATATGTATTTAGGATAGCTTGTGGTTCTTACATAGAGAGCAATAGCTTCTATATTTGCTTTTTTTTAATATTTTTTTCTATCTAGAAATTGACATTGAACGTTGTGTGCGAGAATCAATCAACCTGTTTTGTTGGACTCCTAAAAGTGCTACTTATAGGCAGCATGCTCAACCTCCAAAGCCAACGTCTGATAGCAGTGGAGTCAGAAGTTCGACACCTTATTTCCCCACTGAGTGTCCAGATCCTCCAAAAACAGACCTGGTATGTATTTGCTTGACTTAATTTATAAACTGTAAAAGAAGATGGATATGGCATTAGTACACTTAGTATCTTTATTGTCCGTAATACAATAATCATTTATGTTCTTTTAACATAGCTCTCTTCTAGTATGTTGTATTCAGGCAGCTGTTCCAGGTCTTGAGGCCAACCAAAGGTGAGAGCTTAGTTAAGGCCTTCTCAGGTCTTCCTGTGCGTGCAGACATCCTGTGTGTGCACAGACAGACTTCCAGATTCCCAGGATCCTGTTAGCACTTTCAAATTCCCCTGTGGACGTTGAATTCCTCAGTTTTTCATTTTAGTGGTTTTCTTTTTTTTTTTTTTTCATTGTCTGCTTATTCTTCGCTCCTACTGTCATGGCCACTTCAGGCAGCCACAATATTAAACAATTGCTGCTGACTCTTTTTGACAGATACCTTCAGGGAAATGTCTCTTTGCACTGAGAGTATTCTGAATCAGGTCAAACAAAGGCAAGCGTTGTAAGGAGAGGTTCTAGGAAACTGGAAGATAGGTGAAATAACCGTAACCTGCCAAAAGGACACCTCTTGGGAGCTCTAAAACAATCTGTCCTATCCAGTGGCTGCTAGATTTCTGGTGTGTGAGACTGCTGGTTTTTAAGGTGACTGTGGAACTGAGAGGGAAGCGAGAGTAGGGAAAATTAAAACTCCACAAAGCTCACATTCTTACTGAAATTCCGGTGTTCCTTTTGACTACATACTCTATAGATTGCAGCAGACAGACCTTTGTTTAACTTCCAAATTCTAAAGTTTATTTTGATGATCTCTGCCAGTATTCTCATTATGTTTTGAAGGAGCAGCTCTTCTGAGATTCTTACTTTGCCATTCTCACTGATGTCACTCATATTCTATGCTGTTTGTCCACTACATTTTAATTCTTCAGTGAAACAAAACGATTGAGAAATAGTTGATTTTAAAAGCTCAAAAAGGAATTGTGACAGCTCAAGTAATGTGAAACTTTCATTTTGTGATTAAGTGAAATTTTACTAAGAAAAATTGCTGTTTATTTTAAATTTGAGTAAGTGGTTTTAAATCTTTGCCCTTACACTACCATCTGACATGAGATTTTTGTTTGAAGTGTTTAATAGTTTGAATGTCACTAAACCCCAAGTCCCATTATATATTGCTGATTATGATAAGTCTCAGAGTACTGGGTCAATTTGCTAAAACTTTGTAATACAAAACTAACTTTTTTTGTGTACTCAGAAATCTGATATATTATTCCCAACAACAATACTAAGAATGAAAGAGAAAAATATATTATTTACGTAAAATGTTGCTATCTGAAGAATATTCAAGTTTTGGTTAACTTTTGTTTAGAATTTATTTCATTCTTTTTATGTTTCAACCATAAAGAAAAATATAATGAATAGTGCAAACAATATGTCTGAATACATACTATCAAACAGATGTCATTCAAGTTACTGAATTAAGAGTACCTACATTCAAAATTTGCATTTAGTGGAGGATATACTGACAGTAAGCAAAAAAAGTAAACATTTAGTGTGTTTTCTACAGTCTACATGTAGATCATCTGGTATTTGTCTTTCTCTGTCCAACTTATTTCACTTAGCATAATATCCTCTGGATTATCCATGTTGTTACAAATGGCAGGATTTCTTTTTTAATGGTTGAGTAATATTCCATCATATACATATACACAACACTTTCTTTATCCATCCGTCTGTTGTTGAACATTTAGTGGCATTTAGGTGCCATTTTGGAAATTAAACAATAAGGAAAAAATAAATGGGACTGCATCAAACTGAAAAATTGTTACACAACAAAGAAAACTATCAATAAGACAGAAAGGCAATCTAATGAATGGGAGAAGATATTTGCAAACTATATATTCAGTAAGGAGTTAACATCCAAATTACACTAAGAACTCATACAACTCAAAATCAAAGGACATACAACCCATTGTAAAAATGGGCAGAGGACCTGAATAGACATTTTCCAAAGCCATAAAGTGTGAGTCGCTCAGTCATGTCTAACTCTTTGCAACCCCATTGACTATAGCCCACCAGCCTCCTCTATCCATGGAATTCTCTAGGCACAAATACTGGAATGTATTGCCATTTCCTTCTCCAGGGGATTGAACCTGGGCCTCCCACATTGCAGGAAGATTCTCTACTGTCAGAGCTACCAGGGAAGCCCTTCCAAAGGCATGCAGATGGCTAACAAATACATGATCAACATCACCAATCATCAGGGAAATGTAAATTAGAACCCCAATTTTATATGCGCTCATACTGTTAGAATTGCTATCATTAAAAAGACAACAAATAATTATTGGCAAAGATGTGGAGAAAAGGGAACCTGTGTGCACTGTTGGTGAGATGTAAATTGGTCCAGCCACTGTGGAAAGCAGCATAAAGATTCCTCAAAAAATTTAAAATAGAACTGCCATGTGATCTATGGCAGTTTCACTTCTGGGTGTTTACCTGAAGAAAGCAAAATTAATTTGAAAAAAATATCTATACATCAGTGTTCATAGCAGCATTATTTATAGTAACCAAGATATGGAGGCAACCTAAGTGTCCATCAATAGATACATGGATAAAGAAGGTGTGGTATTTTCATACACACAAAATGGAGTATTACTGAGACAAAAAAGATTGAAATCTTGACATTTGAAACAACATGGATGAAACTTGAGGGTATTTTGGTCAGTGAAATAAATCAGAGAAAGAAAAATATAATATTATCTCACTTATATGTTGAATCTAAAAGACAAAAAGCTAACCGAACAAAGTGGGACCATACTTACAAATACGGAGAACAAACAGGTGGTTGCCTGAGGGGAAGGATGTGGCAGAGGGGTGTGTGTGAAATAGGTGAAGAAGATTAAAAGGTACAGACCTCCAGTTATTAAATAAATAAACCATGGAGATATAATACACAGCATAAGGAATACGGTCAATAATATTGTTATAACTTTGTATAGGGTTAGATGGCTAGTAGACTTATGGTCTTCCCTGATAGCTCAGTTGGTAAAGAATCCACCTGCAAGGCAGGAGACCCCGGTTCAATTCCTGAGTTGGGAAGATCCCCTGGAGAAGGCTTAGGCTACCCACTCCAGTATTCTAGGATTCCCTGGTGGCTCAGCTGGTAAAGAATCCACCTGCAACACGGGAGACCTAGGTTCCATCCCTGGGTTGGGAAGATCCCCTGGAGAAGGGGAAGGCTACCCACTCCAGTATTCTGGCCTGGAGAATTCCGTGCTGTGTATAGTCCTTGGGGTCGCAGAGTCAGATATGACTGAACGAGTTTCAATTCACAGACTTATGGTACTGATCATTTCATAATGTCTACAAATGTCAGATCACTGTCTAGTACACCCTAATCCAATATAATATTGTATTCCAGCTATATTTCATCTTTTAAAAGGAGAAAAGGACAATGGAAAATGCCAAGAAGTAGAAGTCTGGAGAACATTAGAGAAGAGTTACTATTTTATGTGAGATACTTAAAGAAAATCTATCTAATAAGGAGACATTTGGGAAGAGAACCTAAAAGAAGTGAGAGTGAGCTATATATATTTCCTGAGGAAAAAATGTTCCATCTTGCAAGTGCAAGGTGGTAGCATTGCTTTGAATGTTAGAGGAACAGTAAGGATACTATACATAGAATGGAATGAGTGAAGAAGAGTCTTGCTATTTTTGTTGTTTAGTCACTCAGTCGTGTCTGACTTTTGCAAACCCATGGACTGTAGCTGACCGGGCTGTTCTGTCCTTTAAAGGTATACAAACTTACTATTACAGTAGTAAATATTAATATATTTTGAAAGAAAAATCAACAGATATGGCTGACTCATTGAATGTGAGGTACAAAAGAGAAAGAGTGTGAAAGAGTCAGTTGCTCATGCTCATGTCTAGTTCTTTGCAACCCCTGGACTGTAGCCTGCCAGGCTCCTCTGTCCATGGAACTCTCTAGCCATGCCCTTCTCCAGTGGATCTTCCTGACCCAGGGATTGAACCAGCATCTCCTGCATTGCAGGCAGATTCTTTACCACCTGAGCCTCCTCGTGGTTATCCAGGTCATTAAGACCTTTTTTGTATACTTCTTCGTGTGTATTCTTTTTTTTTTTTTTTTGCATGGCTTAAACAACATTTATTTCTTGTAGTTCTTGGGGATGATAAGTCCAAGATCAAGGTACTGGCAGATTTGGTTCCTAGTGAGAGCCTGCTTCCTAGTATACATGGCCTTTTCTCTGTGCATGTATGTGTTCAGAGAGGTATCTGTCTTTCTCTTCTTGCTGTTATTCAGTCACTAAGTTGTGTACGACTCTTCACAACCCCGTGAACTTCAACACACCAGGCTCCTGTCCTTCACTATCTCCCTGAGTTTGTTCAAACTCATGTCCATTGAGTCAGTGATGCCATCCAACTGTCTCATCCTCTGTCGTCCCCTTCTCCTCTTGCCCTCAATCTTTCCAAGCATCAGGGTCTTTTCCAATGTGTTGACTCTTTGCATCAGGTCCTTCCAATGAATGAGTATTCAGGGTTGTTTTCCTTTAGGATTGACTGGTTTGATCTCCTCAACTGTCCAAAGGGCTCTCAAGAGTCTTCTCTAGCACCACAGCTCAAAAGCATCAGTTCTTCAGCACTCAGCCTTCTTTATGGTCCAGCTCTCACACCCATACCTGACTACTGAAAAAACCATAGCTTTGGCTATACAGACCTTTGTCGGCTAAGTGATATCTCTGCTTTTTATCTTATTTTATTTTATTTTATTTTTGATGTACTCCTTTCCCAATTTTTTTTTCATTTATTTTTATTAGTTGGAGGCTAATTACTTTACAATATTGTAGTGGTTTTTGCCATATATTGACATGTATCAGCCATGGATTTACATGTGTTCCCCTTCTGTGTATTCTTGCCACCTCTTGAGATGGCAAAAAGTTACAGAAATAAAATAAAAACAAAGTTTTCTTACTACCTAGAAGTAGTAAAATAAACCAGT